CATGGGAGAATCACCACACAGCCCTCCACCGGGGTCCTGAAACAAGACCATGCCATAGGCAGCAGAGGATGCATGCTTTTTGGAAAAAGTGCTCCAGGTGTGTTATTAATGGGAATGGAAGAGTTGCCCGTGGGATACCAAGTGAAATTGCATCTAGAAATGCCATGGTGATCTGGGTTCTCATCAAGCCATGGAAAAGGTACACCTGAGATGGAGCCTGAGGGGTGGGGGCAGAGGAAGGTGCCAAGCAGGTGTCCCGGAGCCCAGGTCCTCCTCCCTGAGCTCACCCCCATGGCAATCCGGCAGGTGGAAGCAGGTGGGGGTCTCACACTGCCAGCTGAAGGAGGAGGAAGGGCCAGAGCTTGATTTACAGGTGGGCTGGCTCAGTACTATGTGCGGGTGCAAGCTGGGACTGGAGGGCTACTACGACACTCAGGGATGGATCGCTAAAGACGGTGGCCAGGGGAGACCCTCCCAGAGGCAGGGACTCCAGCAGTGTCGCTGGTTATGCCCTTTATGTGGAAGGAAAATTTGCCAAAGATGAGAAAAATCTGAACTCATGGCAGTGACAAATGGCCTGGAGGGCTGGTCAGGGGCCAGCCTAGAAGACCAAATGACTGAGACAAGGGTGTCTGGGGGAGAAGCAATTCACAGGTATATGGAAATGGGTGTAAAGAATGAAGATCTTGGGCCAGGCGTGGCGGCTCACGCCTGTAATCCTAGCACTCTGGGAGGCAGAGGCAGGCGGATTGCTCGAGGTCAGGAGTTCGAAACCAGCCTGAGCGAGACCCTGTCTCTACTATAAATAGAAAGAAATTAATTGGCCAACTAATATATATAGAAAAAATTAGCCAGGCATGGTGGCGCATGCCTGTGGTCCCAGCTACTCGGGAGGCTGAGGCAGGAGGATTGCTTGAGCCCAGGAGTTTGAGGTTGCTGTGAGCTAGGCTGACGCCATGGCACTCACTCTAGCCTGGGCAACAAAGCGAGACTCTGTCTCAAAAAAAAAAAAAAAAAAAAAAGAATGACGATCTTGGTGTTATATGTCAATTAGCAGAAAACATTCAGCACGGAAGGGGCACTAAATAACCGAGTAGGCAAAATAACTGAGCCACCTGATGTCAGCGAGCAAATGCTAGAGCCTGCAAACCTGCAGAGGCAGAGGCTATATATGGCCCCAACAACATGGGCTGCCACTGACCGAGACCTGACTGGTGACTGTGGGCTGTGGCTGTCATGAAAACGTGTCCCTTGCTCAGATGTCCCTTCAAGGGCAGAGGTAAGGGGTGCAGTTGGCTGGCAGTCTCCCGTTGAGGCCCTTTCATGATTCACTGTGGCTCTTCCCTGGCAGCCAGTGGCTGAGCATGCCAGGAGCCGTCTCTGCAGACGCAGGACTCCTGGGATCGGCAGGCTTTGCTCCAGAACTGCCTGCTGGCTGGACCACAACTTTAGAAGCCCTACAGGACAGTGAGGGCCCTCCACGCCACTTCTGTTCCTCTTTCTTACCCTTGACAGGCTTCAGGTCAGCACTGTGGTCTGAAGGCTTTCTCAGCCAATCCCGTTTCAACTCTTTTTACCTGTCACAACTGTTACTCCCCGGAAACCTCCTGCATCCCTAACCCTGGTCCAGCACCTGCTTATCAGAAGACCTAGATTGATATATGGGATCCATGGGACGTGGGATTCCTTGCCAATGATATTGGTCGTGCTACCAGGGCCCGCAAGGGGCTCTGCCCACGTCCTCCCAAAGGCTACCCACACTCTGGTCTGCAAACCCCAGGCCTGAGGGGTGCCAGAAGTGGCTGTCTGCATGGGAGTGGCAGATCTTAGCCATGGAGCCTGGGCTGTGCACATTCATGTGCAAGAGCCCTCGTGGTGCAAACACAACGCCTCCTCCTGCAGGAGGAGACAGATAGCCAGGGGGTGGCTAGTTTTCTCCTCCCGATACATTCCCATATGCACTTGTTCTAAATCTGAACCCAGCCTTTCAGATTGTCAAGGAAGGAGACTGAGACACAATTTATTTAACAGTTTGTTAGCATGATTAATAACTTTCAAGTATTTATTTTAAATATATGGAATGTAGATATCCGTTTGTAGTCTTGTCCTGGGCTACACAGTTGTTAGGAGTGGGCCTAAGATTCATCTTATCTGGGCTAGTGGGATATATTGACATGTTTCAAAATCACTTCCAGTAAGTTGTTGCCAGCCATCCAGGGGAAGGAATGGCTTCTAGAAATCTTCCTGAGGCCAGCTGCGCCCACTCACCAGGCATCATGACAGAAAGTAGAGTTCTGAAAGTCACACTGTGAAATGAATGTGTTCTGGCTGCAAAAGTATGGGGTTGTGAAGAAGCAAGTCAGAATAAATCCATGGAAAATTCTTCCAGTCATGAAGATGGAATTCTGATTGCAAGCAGAGAATTTGTTTTTCATTGGCATCTAAGTGAAACTATCAATAATAAAAAACAACTTTTGATCAGCCATGCTAAAGAAAACACTGAATTATTGTTATCTCTTTATAGAAAATACCATCACAAAATCATTGTCATAGGAAGAAGCTATCAAATGTATGCAGCCAAAAATATATAGAAAAAAAGTCTTCTAGAAGCATATAAGATAATTAATAAAATACAGTATGTTATTTTTCTGGGTTTTGTGATGTTTGTAGTATTTGTTCAGTTTTTCTTTGTAATTTGTTGTGACTTTTTCTTCTAAGTTACTGTTCCCTTTCATACTAAATGTTGTATTTGTAAATGTGTACTCTTCTTTCTTAAAAAGGGCTCTCCAAATTGAATAAGCTTCAGGCCCTATAAAACCCAGATGCACTCCTGAACGAATATTGTTATTATTAGTCGCAGTATTGCTTCATCGCATCTGTAAGGTGGGTAGGATTGTCTGTTTTACAGAAAAGAAAAGTGAAGGCCCGGAGATGAAGTTGCTTACTCATTCTGACTCTGAATGCTTTTCCCGCTGGATTCTGGAATCTTCAGGCTTCTTGGCTCTCAGCCTGTTCATTTATCCTTCTGCTGCTTCCACCACCCAAGTCCCAGCAGAGAAAGCCAGAGGGAGCCTAAGGAGGAAGAACAGGCCTCTCCAAATAAGCTCCACTGAGGAGGCTCCGTAAGGTCCAGCTCTGCGGCAGATAGACCAAGGTCGGGGAGCAGGCTGGGGGTGGGAGGGGCCACAAGGAAGCTAGAAACCAGGTGGCCCAAACAACCAGCTTTTGCAGGAGGACAAAGCAGGGGCACTTAGGGGCTCTGGACCCTCGTCCAGCCTCAGTTAACTGCTAGTGTGGCTTAAACCTGATGTCATCAACAGAGAAAGGAGAGGAGGGAAGGATGTCACGTCTGTGCTTCTCATTTCCTGAAACCGTCCAGCCTGCAGTGGGGAGCCAGGGCCTGACCGGGTTCAGGATGGCCTCCAAGGGCGCCTCATCCGTCACTCATCTTTGGCCATGGGCTGTGGACATTCCTTCTGCTAATTAGGGTCATTAAGAACCATGAAAGCATTGCCTCCCAGAGCAGAAAGAACCCCAATCTCCCCGCATCTGGGGATTCTGAGGTCTACCCTGATGAAACAGGGTCAGTGAGTGACTTTTTCCAAAAGCTACGTTTATAAAATTTAAACACTATCATTTTGGCTGACATTATATCTTTTTTTAAAACTTTTTTGGTTCACCGATCCTCTCGTTTGTGAAATGATGGTGACAGTGATGACATTTGCTAGCATTTATCGTTGCCACGCGCTAAGCATCGTGCTGAAAACTTTGCGCAGCGTGCCTCACCTCACCACTATGAGAACCTTAAGAGGCAGACACTGCTATTAACCCAGTTTTACTTTCGAGGAAACAAAGACTTGGGGAGATCAAGTGGGCACATGTCAGACAGCAGCGTGTCGTGGAGTCGGGACCTGAGCTTGGCCGGTCTGATTTCATCTTGCACACCCTTCACCATCACATCTTCCTGTCTCTGTAGATTAAATGCAGTTTTGAAATTTTGATGTTCTTGTCTCCCCAAATAAAACTGTGGCAACCCTGGGTTGGAGCCTCGTGTTTGTCACAGAACTCGTGCTGGCCTAGCAGTCTGGAGGCCTGACAGCCAGTGGTGTAGCCCCTCAGGCTCATTGACAGCCGCCCCTGGGAGACGGACTTCAGGTATTCAATGTCGCCCAGCAAGTTGGAAGCAAATTAGACAAAGAGAAGACCTGGCCTGGCAGATTTCAGCATCGGTGAGACGTGAAAATTTGGGAATGTCCTTTGGTTTGGACGGCGGGTGACTGAGAGAAAGGCAGCCCCTAGAAATAAACTCAGAAAACAAGTCCTCCAAACCCGTTCCCCAAGGAACGCCCGGCCGGGAAAACCGCAAGAAAGCCCCCCCAATCCCCCCCCGAGTGGGAATTTCCAGTCTGGGCTCCTGCTGGATGCCGCTTCTGGGTGACAAAGGAGTGTCTGGAGGCACATTCTCACCTCTCCCTTGCTGCACCTCCTCCCACTCGAGGAACTTCTTTCCGATTGGCTGTCTCCATGGTGAAGGTGAGAGAAAGAGAGAGTTTAGATGGTTTCTATGACAACAGCAAAGGAGAGGCTGTTTCCCTGGTGACAGTGGGAAGGTAGAGGCAGCTGGGCACACAGGATCTGTCCTCCCCCACCCCCTGCCGCCCAGCTCCCGCCCTGCACAGGTCACACCCGCAGTGTTGTTACCTGCAATGGCAGCAAGAGCAAAGTCTTCTAAGGGACAGACACTACCCTGGCCAGGAAGGCAAGCTCTGTTTGGGCTCCGGGTCCAGGCACACTCGGTTTGGGGCACGTTATCTCACCCTTTAGGTGCCTTCTCAGTTGCCTCATCTATAAAATGGGGCTAAGAACAGGGTCAACCTATTTGGGTGGTGAGGAAAGTAAAAGCCGAGTGCTTAGCTTGTGGCAAGTGCCAGTAAGTGCTAACCATTATTACTCCCTGCTAACTATTATTATGACCTGCTAATAACCATTCTTACTGCAATGCACAGAGGGAGGCAAGGCGGGTTTAATGAGGCCATTTTACAGAAGACGAAGCTGGAGGCCTGGGATGGCAGGTGAGTCTGCCTGAGTCCCACCTTTACCGGGCGCTGGTACTGGGGCTAGAAGCCAGGCGTTTGGACTCAAAGTCCAGTGCTCTTTCCTCTCCACACCCCTGCCCCCTTGCACCGTAGACACACCAACCACTGGCTGGGCTGTTTTGTTTCTGTGCCTCAATCAGAGAACCTGAAGGCTGAGCAGCTAGTCCCTAAGCCTTCCCTCTGTCACTCACCATTTGCACCATAAGTCTATACCAAGTCCACAGAAGTATCTAGATCAGTGGTCCCAGCATTTGTGGCACCAAAGATCAGCTTCATGGAAGACAATTTTTCCATGGACTAGAGGTAGGGGAGATGGTTTCGGGATGATTCAAGCGGGTTACATTTATTGTGCAGTCAAACCTCTCTGCTAATGATCATCTGTATTTGCAGCTGCTGCCCAGTGCTAGCATCACCACCTCAGTTCCACCTCAGATCGTCAGGCATTAGATGCTCATAAGGAGCATGCAACCTAGATCTCTCCATGTGCTGTTTACAGTAGGGTTTGCGCTTCTATGAGAACCTAATGCCACGGCTGGTCTGACAGGAGTTGGAGCTTATGTGGTGATGCAAGAGAGGGGAGTGGCTGTAAATACAGACAAAGCTTTGCTAGCTGGCCCAGCTACTTACCTCCTGCTGTGCAGCCCAGTTCCTAACAGGCCACCAACTGGTACTGTTCCATAGCCTGGGAGTTAGGGACTGCAGATCTAGATGATTCTCAAAGCAATTAATAAGCATGAAAAGGGAAAAGTGAGTTAACTTAGTGAAGTCTCCCCATCCCATAAATTACTGAGAAGCAGTCTAGGCTAAAGCCTGGGCTGCAGATGACAGACAGAAAGCTTCACTGCTTCAGTGAGTGATCTGGGCCTCAGGCAGCCTCCTATGGCACTCCTGAATCATACAATGTATGAATTATTAACATTTCACTTGTGTGATCTATTCGTTATTTAGAAGGTGGTACATCATCCTGGGAAGACTACCAGCTTTAGAACTAACCAGATTTGAATCAAATCCTAAACTCTCCCCACTAAATACTAGCAATTTGACTTTGGATGAGTTAGTTACAATTTTTCTGATCTATAAAGTGGGCTATAACACTATCTCCTGATAGATTAATTGTGAAGCGTAGAGATGAAATATATAAAACACCTGGCACATTAGAAGCCATTCAACAACTGGTAGGCTTTCTTACTAAACACTGATGGGCTCATCACAGTCCTGTGGGTCCCCGATTGGGGTGGATGCTCCCCAGCGGGTCCGCGCCTTACAGGGATCTGCGAGAAGGGGAGCTGGGGAAAGTTTCACTGGTGTCGATGTGGGCTCTTGGTGGCCTCCTATGCAGTGCAGGGAAGCAGCAGGGCTCGATGATCTTAGCCTGCAGCTGGGCCAGCACTACTGTCCAGGTCAGATCTTGGGCTGTTGATCACATCCACGGTCCCTGGCAGCCGTGTGGGCTGCAAGCCCCCGCCTAAGAGCATCAGAAGTTAGTATCTGGCCAAAACCCACCAACGAACTTGTATTTCCTAGGAATCTGGGATGGAGTCCAAGAGAGAGTTTAGTTAGTATCTTGATTAAGATGTTTATATATAAAGCCTGGAATGGAGAACTGGCCAATTGCCAGCCTAAGGCACTTGACCACGGGAAAGACACATACATGTGTGTACACACATACAAACACATACACACACTTGCACACACACGCACACAGATACCAGAATTCAGTGGACAGACATCCCAGATCACATGTCTGATCCCTTTCTGGGTTCCGGCAGCATTTCTGACCTTAGGTTTGGGGAAACACCTTAAAATAAATTCTCCCTTCTGGATTTTTTGTTGTTGTTAAACTAAGTCAAGTTTATTTCTATTATTTGCAGGGAGCAGGGAAGCAGACTATGAAGGGCAGGGCGAGAGCTGTGGTGCCTTGAAGGAATTCCTTTAACAGAGGTTCTACTCCTCACTTTAACTTAAATAATAATAAAGTGAAAGTGAAAGGATTATTATGACCTTTTCCCATCTCAGATCCTCCTCAGCAGGGGACTTCTGCTAAGGCAGGCTGACACCAGTTTTTTGGAGCCTGAGCACCTGCATTCATATAGTTATTGTCTTTCACTGATGCCCTGTAAGTTCGCTCCCCTCTGGGTGCCAAAGAGGCTTGGAAGGCAGAAGATGAAATGCAGCCATGCACTGCCCACCATGGGCAGGTTTTTGGACTAAATTAGTTCCTGTGGGAACAACAAACAATGCTTCCCTCTGTGCTGGAAGCCATCTGGTGACAGTCACCACAAGCGATCAGAAGAGCCAAAGGTTTTGGGATCGCCCAGCAAAGCGGCCATCCACCCCCCGCCCCCGGCCGCCAGGTGGGGACTCAGAAGCACCCGAGAGAGCACCCCACCAAGGTGGCAGCCCACCAGCAGCCAGCGCCAGCCCCAAGGTCATGGGCTCCCAGAGGGGGAGGCTTAGGGCTCAGGGGCTTGGGGTTGCAGGGCCACCCTCTGAAGGACTGTCCTAAGGGAGGGGCAGGGAGGAGCCGGTACAGGTACAGGTCGTTTGCAGGCAGGGTGCTTGCTAAGCCATGCCATCAGAACCTCCCCGGGGAGGAGAGAGGAAGGAAGCAGGATTAGACAGAAGGCAAAGGTGAGGCCCAAAGACAGCCTTGCTGACCAGCGGGAGCACAGGAGCTAGAATGACTGTCATAGTTGTCTCTCTTGGGACCCAGCTGACCAAGCCTTTACACCTTCCCCATAGGATGCAGTCACCCCAAAAGGGCAAGATCTTGGACCAACCAGCTCTCTGCAGCTGCAGCAAACCCTGAAGGGGCTGACGATTGGGGTAGTCTGTACACAGTGCTCCCAGCAGCCAGGGAAGCAAGTCCTTCAGGGAAGAGGCCTCTGGGTGACACATCAGTGTCCACCAAAGGCACCGCCCTCCCCACCACCCTCAACAGAAGGCAGAACAAAAACCAGCTGGGGAAGCTACAGGAGGCCAGACTCTAGTGCAGGCTGCTACGCTGGGTTCAGCTGCTCATGCTCTTGTTAAAATAATGAATGGGGCGGCCACGAAGCTGAGACACCCCAGCACCCCGGGTTCCTACATAAGCAAATGGAAACTCAGCTCAGTGGAAATGGTAAAATGAAACTTGAGCTTAACCAATCAGAAACCACCAACTAATCTCTAACTAAAGACTTTTCACTTTAACCAATCAAATACTTTCTCTGCCATGCTTCTGTGAACACCTTATACAAGTTTCCC